TGCATGAACACTAGTTTACTTGTAGAAGATTTAGAGCTCCTTATCTTAAATCAACGATTCAGTGATATATCGACTCACGATGGTGTCCGTACTATTTTGCTATATATTCTGAATCAAGGTTTTTTTAGGAAAAGAGCCCAATGATAAAGTCACCAAGGAATTTTTGTGGGTGGTGGAGAGCCTAGATCGATGGAATAGGTATTTATCAATTTAATATTTTTAATAAAATACTATTTTTTATACGTTTAACTAATACTTTTGTTTTTAAATATATGTTCTCTTGGGGGAGTTATCTATCGACTAAAACATACTCTAGATTATTGGGTATATTTAAAATTTTGAGGATCATATCTTTAAGTAATTAATATATATATATATATATATATATATATATATATATAATATATATATATACACACACACACACACACACACACATGTATATATTTATAAAATTTTCGTTCTTTATTCTTTGATAATTTTAGTTAGTGCTAACACTTATAATTTAATGTATATTTATTACAAGATATGAATATGGGAGATGTTCCCAATAGTTCGGGGAAATGATGGGATACGACGAAATAATTTATATCCTCGTATCTTGCGGTGGTTTCATATTAGGAGGTTGACTTTGGAGAAAATTTGCGATGTTTTTAATGTTGACCAGGACGAGGCGCATCAACCCCCCCAAAAAAAAGATGATTGCCTCAAATGTCGAGTCCTCTACCACACATTATTTGTCATATATTACTAGTTTGAATTATGAATGGTTTGAAGTCCCTTCTTCTATACGCTACAACTTTAGAAAAGATGTAAGTAAAATGGTAAAAGTAGGATCCAGTATATTAATATTTTTCGACTATTATTTACATATCAAATAATTTATGTACGGGCATCTTCGTTTGATCCATCCTGTGGAAACAACCATTCTACCCACTCCACCGAACAAACTCATATGGTGGGAATTAACAAAAGAACAACTCGAGAAATACTGGCAAGACTTCAATATTTAGAGGAAGAAATCTGAGGAATGAAAAATAAAGGGGGATTTCGAGAAGTGGATGACTTGAAAGATTTTTTTTAACAAAGCTTTTGAGGTAAAATAATTAATTTTAGAAATTTAATATCAATTTTTAACGAAGCTTTTGAGGTAAAATAATTAATTGTTAAATTTGCTTTGCTTTTTTATTAATTATTTTTTGTTTAATGTAGGGGAATTAGAATGTGGATGCTAATTATCGGATGCCAAGCCCGGTGAACCAACAATTCGGTAGTCCACGGAAATCAAATCGAGTAAACGAGGATGATGATGTTGATAATTATCCAGAGTTCAATTGTAGAAAACAAAAAACAAATCGTGAAGGAGGATATAATTTTTTTGTATATTAAATTTTTTATTTTTTCAAAGTATATTAAAAAATTAAATTTTTTTTTGTAGAAGAAGAAGAAAAAAATGTTTTTTGTAGAAGAAGAAGAAAAAGAAGGTTGTTGCTTACGACATTGTGGATGCGGAAAATCATATATCTTGGCCTCCTATTGCAAAACCAAGTCCTCCGGTTAGGCTATTGAAACCTTCTCAATATCTTAGCTTTCCATATATTTCAGTAAGTATTTTAAAAATTATATTTACTATAATTTTATTACTATATGGATAGTTATTAACCACATATATAATGTAGGTTCAAAATGCCCCCTGATATCGTACATGTAAGGTAATACGCAACAAACCACCACCCCCCTAATCTGTCAGCGATCCTCCGACACTTTTATTAGAGCCATATGTGATGTCGGGTTGAAACGCCCCTTTTGTATACATAGGAAAGAAACAAGTTGTTTTTATGAAACATCGTTTTTACAATAAAAAATTGAAGCAAAATTTTGGGATCTGCTTTTTTATGCAAGTGACTTGGGATTTTTAGATGAAGTGGTATGAATACATTTCTTTATATTTAACTTTTAAATAATTTATAAGCTCATTATGTTTAAATTAAATTTAACTGCAGCATGTTGACATATAGGGAAGACTTTTGAATGAGCGGAGACCAAACGATGCACGACAGACAATCATGCCATCGTCATTTTTCGGTGCATTTGAGATGTTCCAGTGGGCAGGAAGTGCAATGGGAAATCCGACTGACCCGTTGGATGGATGTAAATCTTGGCTAGAAGTTAACCGTGTGAGTAAAAAATAATATATATGAGTCAATTAAAATGTAATATTACACTAATTATGCGCTCTAATTAATTGCAAAGGTTGTGTGTTAAAACCGGTTTATTTTCAAATATGCATCAACCCACATCATTAGGTACTTGGCGAGTTATGGACAGACACATTGTCTTTGAATTTGTACGACAACTTGCGATCTTTTGGCGTCGTGAACCTTATTGATTTTGTGCGGTTTGAAGAACTTATTGACCACATTCTGCTGGACATTGGCTATTGGAATCACATGGATTTCCCTGTTTAGAAAGCATCCATTAGTGTTACGAATGTTGTGGGCGTGCCCTAACAAGAATGGATGTTTGGAGAGTGTGGTGTATTTATGTTGATGTACATGGAGCAGCTTTGTTTCAGGTCAACCAATTGGTATATCGACGAAATATATTATTGCTGTTACACAGTTTTGCAGTAGGATGGGTATGATATATTAAGGATCTTCTAGAAAAGAAATTTTAAATTAGTTTAATTAGTAGGTTTTTAATGACATTTAATGTGTAATATTTCAACACGATTGGCAATGTTCTATTTTTAGTTTATGTTAACAAAATATCCCCTAATTATCAAACATTCAACATTATTACATAACAAACTAACAAGAGAATAGTAGATATTACATAGATTAATCATAACAAACAAACAAATAAATATATAAAAGATATTACATAGATAAACTCATAAATAATACATAAACTTACTAGTTGATTAATAAAAAAATGATTAAATTTAAAGATTTGGAAAATCAATTGGATATTTTGCTTTTTCTTGAAGCACCCAGTCGTAATTTTTTTTGTATGGTTTTTAGCACATTTTCCATTTTAACCTCTTCTTTATTGGCGTACTCTATTGCATCTTGTACCCAAACCCTTGCAGTTTTTAGGTCGCGTTCTTTGTCTTGAACCGACCTCATATTAGACCAAATATCGGCTTGTAAGTCATCCAACAGTTTCCTATCTTCTTCAACTCCTTTAATCTCGCTATTGATCTCTTCTTCTTTTATTAATAGTTTCAATTGCTTCTCTTGTGACATCAAATACCATTTTTCTTGAGAGGTATACATAATTGTATGTGTATGATGGTTATAGAATAACGAGTAGTATACGATTTGTAAATCTCACACCCATACATATAAGTCTCTATATATAATTGACACTTTATCTATTTTTATTGTCTTTGACTACTATCAAATAGACTTTGACTACTATATTATGTGTTGTCATATCGTACCGTGACTACTATCTATTTTTTTTATAGGTTTTGACTACTGTCTAGTAGTGTTGGACTATACTTTATACGTTTAACTACTACTTTATGCAATTGACTACTATCTTCTAGCCGTTGACTATTATATAATGTCATATATAATGTAAATTTGTTTTCAATTCATAAATCAACAAAACAATAAAAAAAATTGTAATGTGAAAAAGATAGAAAGATTAGAGGAGATGAAAAAGATAGTGGCAAAATTTAATTGGCCATCTACATCCACCAATAAGCCTCCTCCCGAGTCAATTGTTCAGAACGCTTCAACCAATCCCCCTCCCAATAGGGAGAAGATGGATGAGGAAATGAAAAAGGTGTTGTTACAAAGAGAAGCTGATGTGGATAAGCCTTATAAGGATTTTTCTTTCCAACGAAAACTTCTAGATAACTATTGAGACAACATTGACCGTAAAAGGAATTGGATCGTAACTACTAGACAAGAAATCCAATATACCGTGAGTTTGATCCACTCTGGTGAAGAAATTGTGCGAAAGCTAAAAAATGAGTTAGCACTTCGTGAGTACAATTTGGAGAAAACAAAAAAGGAAGTTAATGCTATGAAAAAAAAATATATGTACCAGTTTCTGATGTGGAAAGAAGTTGAGTAATATTTTAATAATTTGCTTGTTTGGTGAAGCAATTTTAAGGTAATGTATCTCTATGTATGTCTTTTATTAGTAATTTTAATGTAATATATCTTTGGTCTCTATGTATGTTTTTCATTAGTGGTTGGATTGTTGAATTAATTTATATAAGTAGCACTATCTTAAAGTATTGTGACCCTTTATCCATAGGAAGCAATATTTTTTTTATTTTGAATAGTAATTTATTTATTTAGAATAGTAAAGAAGATACCTTTCATGTGTTTTTGTGTAAGATTTCACAGAATAGCATGTACTATAGCGACCTAATAGATTCTATACTTGTCTATATAACAATTCAGTAATATGACAGTAGTTTGTATCATAAAAGATGGACCCTAATGTACCACTAACATGGAACACCCAAGAAGAAGGCATTTTAATACGTGCTTGGATTACCATCATAGAAGAAGCTTATCCACATGGTCCCCCAGAATGTCGTATTGGTTCTTTTTGGAGCCGCGTCTTTCACTTGTTTCATTATGAGATGGGTCGAGGTTATTATCGCACAAAAAAGATGTAAAATTAAAAATGTTACAAGTGAAACAACATATAAAGCACTTTCATAGAATTAATAGCGAGATCGAAAATGCACGTCCGTTATGCCTATATATTATTAGCCCACTTGTTTATGGGCCGCTTAGTCTTTAGCCCATCAGGGTTTTGTCTAGCTAGTATTTATATGCCACTTTATTCTTTGTAGTCTTTATGCTTTCCATTGCGAACCCTTGTAATTTCTCTTTATTATCATCATATGACAATGTTATCATGGTGTCAGAGCGGAGGTTTAATACATTTTTAGAAGTCCATGTAGCAGTCATCTGTAGCAGTAGATTCGTTATTGTTGTAGCTGGTAATCATCATTGATTTGATGATTCGTTGTTGTTATTGATTCGTTGTCAATGTTGATTCATTGTCTGATTGATTGCTTCCGTTGGTTTGTTACTCCTTTCATTCTCATATTGCTATACTGATATTGTGGTTATTTATTCATTGTCAACATGACCAGAAAGGATGATTCTCTTCAGTCAATCAGTACTCGTCTAGATGGAAAGAATTATATGAATTGGAGTTACGTTATGAAGAACTTCCTTCGTGGGAAGAATATGTGGGGCTATGTCACTGGGACTAAAGCCAAACCCTCACTGCCTCAAACTGAGAATTTTGATTTGTTGCTTGATGCTTGGGAGACTAATAACTCCAAGGTCATTACTTGGATTAATAACTCCATTACTAAGTCCATTGGCACGCAGTTGGCTATGTATGACACAACAAAGGAAGTTTGGAATCACTTGAAGAGACTATATACTTAGTTCAACTTTGCTAAACAATACCAGTTAGAATATGATATTTGTGCCCTTCAACAAAATGACCAGAGTATTCAAGATTTTTATGCCGCTATGTCTAATATGTGGGATCAATTGCCTCTTAATGAATCTAAAGAGTTACAAGATTTTGAGCCTTACATTGCGAGGAGGGAAGAACAACGTTTGGTCCAGTTCATGATGGCCTTGCATTCTGATTTTGAAGATCTACGTGGAACAATTCTTCATCGCTCTCCTCTTCCCTTGGTTGGTTCTGTTGTCCATGATTTAATTTCAAAAGAGACTCGTATCAAGTCTCATGTGGATAAAGGGTTTAAAGCAACCTCTATTTCTACTCCCGCTCCTGTTGTGCTTTCTGTTTCCTCTAACCATGATAACATTGTCATGTGATTATAATAAATAGAAATTACAAGGGTTCTCAATGGAAAGCATAAAGACTACAAAGAATAAAGCGGCATATAAATACTAGCTAGACAAAACCCTAATGGGATAAAGACTAAAGGGCCCATAAACAAGTGGGCTAATAATATATAGGCTGATATTAGACAAAACGCTAATCAGTCTCTACAAACTTCAAGGGTTGCTTATGATGAGTGTGCATTTTAAAAACATAAAAATCATTGGAAAGCTCGGTGTCCATTGTTAGTCAACAAGGGAAAATCTGGTCAACCTCAGTCGGGACAGCAAAATAGGTCTGGTCAACAGAAGTTTCAGCCATGTTCCTCTGATACTCCTCCATGGACCCCTCGTTCTCCACAGTTTGCTGTTGCTGCTATACTACCGGTTGATATAGATTTTGTTGGAAACATGCCACCATCTGCATTGGATCCCAAGGTGTTTGAGAGTTTTAGACAATATTTGGCCTCTAATCCCACGACTATGTCTAAATCTATGTCTCACTCTGGTTCTACTTCATCTGATACATCAATATTCCCTCATCTTTGTGGATTTTAGATTCTGGTGCAACCCATCATATGACTCCTCATTTGTCATCATTTACTTCTTTTTTGCAAGTGTCATCTATTTCTGTTAAGTATGCTAGTGATACATCTATGTAAGTTGAGGGTGTCGGGTATGTCTCTATTTCTCATACCACTCTCCCTGATGTTTATTACATTCCCAAACTCACTTTGAATCTTTCCTCAATAAGTTAGTTATGTAAGTCTGGTAACTGGGATCAACACACCAAGAAGGTGATTGGGATCGTCCATCGGGTGGGGGAAATGTATGTCTTGGAGGTTCTCAAAGTATCTGCTCTTGCTGCCTCCAACATTGATTTATCTTCTTTCTGTTTGAGTCCTTTGTCTTCTGAGTTTTATCTTTTCCATTCTCGTTTGGGACATGTGTGTGTATCACATTTGAGTTTTTTTTTAGCATCTAGTGGTGTTTTGGGTCATTTAAACACTTGTGATATTTCTGATTGCAACGGTTGTAAACCGACAAAATTCTTTGCTTTACCTTTCAATAAAAGTATGTCTTGTTCTACTACTCCTTTTGACATTATTAATTATGATGTATGGGGTCTTGCACCAGTATCCACAAAGGGTGGGTCAACCTATTATGTATCTTTTATACATGATTATACTCGATATACATTGGTTTATCTTATGAAAAACAAATCTGATTTCTTTGATATTTACAGTAATTTTAGAGCTCTTGTTAAAACTCAACATTCAATTGTGATTAAGTGCTTCAGGTGTGACATAGGGGGTGAATATACCTCTAATGATTTTACTCAGTTGCTCGCTTCTGATGGTACAATACACCAGTCCTCGTGTACTGACACACCTCTGCAAAATGGTGTCGCAGAATGAAAACACCGTCATATTGTTGAGACTACCCGCTCATTGCTCCTGTCTACACGAGTCCATAGTGCTTTTTAGGGAGAAGCATTCCTAACTTCTGTGTATGTGATTAATCACATCCCTCCTTCATTGAATTCATGAATGTCTCCTTTTGAGAAGCTATATGGCCAACTACCAGACTACTCTTCCTTACGAGTTTTTGGATGTACTTGTTTT